CTCTAATATGACGAGTTTCATGACTTTTCAAACACAAATATGTTGTCAAATTTGATCCGATGTGTTTGTTAACAAATCGAGTACAATTTAGATTTCAACAAAGGATTGTGAATTGAGTACTAAAATATCTTTGATTTGTAGCCACTAGCCACACATAATAATCTCCAAACATGTAGGCAATTTTGGTATAATTTGTGTGATTAATTGGATCGGATTAGGTTTGAAAATTGACCTTAGGGCAAATTGCAACTTCAGTCATCAAATTTTGTTTTGAAGACTCATTTAGAAACCAGTGAGACTTTTGAATCTTTAAATTTGAGTATTTTTTTTTATGTTTGAATTATAAGAGAGCTTGTGTCAATTGACCTAAGTTCGAACGCCCTTTCATTTCTATAAACAAAAATCAATATTTTATATTTTCCTTATTGAATGTCCATGAGCAATATTCTACGGGCTATTGCCCGAAAACGCTCTTTACGCATATTACTTTCGAGATCTTTGTGTATATACAATATATATCAATAAATATATGTGGCCAACACTCTAAAGATTTACAACCAATATAATTAAGACATTGACCAAGGTGGCCCAAATTTGAAGAATTCATAACAATCAATCAAATTATCATCTACAGTTCTACACTTTCTTTGTAGTGGTCATTGTTTAAAATTGACCATTTAAAACTAAATATACACGACACTTCCCACCTATGTCACATGAAGCAATGACCAATATATATATTTCCTAAGAAACTGTCAAATGGGAAGTATTGGAAATGGAGCATTAAGCACTTATTTTATTTAATTAATGTTTGATTTAATACTTTAATACTTCTAAACAAATATTATTTACTTCAACTACAAATGCATATATATTAAAATTATGAATCTTTAAATACATGAGTAATTATATCTTGATTATAAAAATGATATTTTATAGTTTAATACACGACTTGATTCCTCCGTTTGAGTTGTTCACATGGCTTAAATTAATCAAATTATTATCATATATTTGGTTATAAGAATATTAATACATTTTATTGCACCAATAGGACATTATTTATTGAAGTAAAAGGTAATATTGCTAGAACCAAACATATTGGGTTTATTAGATCTTCAAAGAACTGATGTGAAATCATAAGTAAACGGGCCTCCGGCCCTCCACTTGAGCCTTCAAAGCTAAAGGTAGGATGTACACAGACTCATGTCGATGAATGATCCTTCTGAGCAACGCATTTTGATCATTGAAAAGTTACGAGGGCTTGTGCGGACAATCAAAGGCATGCAGCTGACAAGAGCGAGACTCGACAATACTTGAAAATCTTGCTCGGAAGCGTGCTAGTAAGGACTTGCGTGATGGACGAGCATGGCGAAGACTTAGAGCCTGTTTAACTAAACTTATTTTAAATAGCTGATAAACTCTTACTTTTGTTAAGATGTTTTAACAGCTGATAAGCTGTTACTTCTGATAAGATGTTTTAAGAGCTGATAAGCTGTTACTTCTGATAAGATGTTTTAAGAGTTGATAAGCTGTTACATCTTATTTTTATGATTAATTTTTAAAGTGTTTGGATAATGAGCTTATAACCTGTTTTTACTCATTACAAGATCTTAAATAAAAAGGTGGGGTATAGGTATTTTTTTTTAAAGATCTTATTTGCTCTCCAATAACTTATTGTAAAAAAAACTAAGATCTTTTAAAAAAAATGTAAAAAACACTTTGGAAGAGCTTATAAGCTCTAAAACATCTTGTAAGCTTAGCCACCCTCTAAAGAAACTAGTAAGCGACATGCAGCAAACGCACATGAAGTTAATTGGCGAAAAGTATAAACCTAAGGACTTTTATGGAAACGAACAAATAACCTTTGTATTTACTTCACATTATGCAACTTAATGAGCGGGTATATTCTCGTTAATGTAAGGAAATATAAATTAGTTGTTTCCTCGACTGTACGTGTTAGTTTCCCTATTTATCGCAACCATCTTGAAAATTTACCTACTCAGTTCATTCGACTAAAAACAAGTTAAAATTATCTGAGAGACAAATATATAAATTATTTAAGCTTCTCGATTTAATAGTTATATATATAAATATTTTTTATTGATTAAATTATCCTTAAACATTTTACCACCTAATACCCCAAATTTTCCTATTAAAATAGAGCTACAACTTTCATGTTTTGCAATTTGAAATATTCAAATCAAATCAAAGGAAAAAAATTGTAAAACAATAAAGTAATGATATGAGATATTTTAATAAGAAATTTCTCATACGAAATTCGATCGAACCTATTCAAGTGGCTTTAAAAGAGCGTGGTAAATGTTTTATGATTTATGATATTCAAATTAAACCGCAATAACAATTATAATAAAATAAACTTGCATTTTTTTCTTTAATCAGAAAATTTTCATACCAAACTTAATTGCACTTATTTAAGTTGCATTCTGAAACACATGAAAAAACTTACATTTTTCATGTTATGCAATTTGTGATATTTGATTTGTATCATGGATATAAACCCTATATATTGAAGTATTTCGAGGCGTTTGTTTACCACAACTTTCTCATTTAGATCAAATTGGGTTGATTAAAATCGTAAAACCTACAAATATAGCTTCAATATTCATGTTTTGTAATTTGTGAGATTCAAATTGAATAAGGTCACAAATCACAATAATCAATTTTGGCCTGGCTTACAGTTAGATACAATATTATTTATTTTTGAAACATGAATAAACGCAGTAGATCTTTTAGCACCTTATCGACGTGAGGAAAAAAATCGGACTATTTAGAGGAGATGAGTTTGGTAAAACGGTACTCATTATGAAATTGATTAACAATATTGCCAAAGCCCATGGTGACGTTTCTGTATTTCGCGGAGTGGGTGAACGTACTCATGAAAGAAATGATCTTTACATGGAAATGAAAGAATCTGGAGTGATCAAATCATGAATTAGTAACTGCATCCAATTTCAATAAAAAATCCCAATTTTGTCGAACTTTCCATTTTTGGAATGAATAGTATCAAGATCAAATCTTATTCCATGGTATTTACAATTACATGAGGTTCCTCTTTCAAAAAGTCCCTTATAGGGCTTAATTGATCCATGATTTATGTTTCATCTTTCATTTCATTTTCATTTTTTTCGAGAGATCTATCGATCAATTCTAATTTTTTTCTTTTACTCTTGATTCTTTTTCGATCGAGATGTCTAGATCCTGTTCATGGATTATATGACCTCCAGTTAGAGGCAATTCAAGTTGCTTTGAAAAGTTAATGACTTTCAGTTATAATCAAGTAATGCCATAGTGCTGGCACTACATTCCAATATAATTGTCGTTTTGTGTCGTTGCACAAATATTAAGAAAAAAAGAATATGCGAAAAATACAACTCTGATTGTCACACGTGGACAATTGATGCTAAACTCATGCTAACATAACATACATAAAATAATACATTTTATTACATATGCGAAAAATTTGCCAACTTTCTAAGTTTGAAATTGTCATCAAATTACCAATTATTGCAATCTTTTACAAATTAAAAAAAATGGTAATATCGATTATAATACTCAATGCCGGGGGCGAATAAAGGAAAATATCTACCGATGGGAGAGAAGTGCGAATTGGCCTTCCCAATTATTTTTCACTTTCGATATAGTCAACTTTCTGTAGCGGATTTCACAACCAATAGTAGTCCAGCTCACCTAGGGGTGAAAGTCGGAAGGATCGGATCGGAATTAGCCTTTTCGGAAAATTTCCAAAAAAATTCGGAAGTACAAAATCAATTCCAATTCCAATTCCAAAATTTTCGGAATCTAAAAATTCATTCCAATTCCAAAAGGCCCGGAAATTTCGGAATTTCGGAAAATAATCGGAAATCACATAAGCTTTAAAATTTCAAAACTTAGCCGAAAATTTCTATAATGTTCACAATTTTTCAAAAATAAGAACATCCACGTCGATAAAAGTAAAACTAATAACTACTAAATTTCAATTCAAAAAAATAAATAAAAATAAACACAGTATAATATCCAATAAAACTTCTAATAACAATTCATTATGTCAAAATCCTAAAACAAAACTCATAGGTGTATTTTTTGGAAAATAAGTATTATATAATATATATTATTATAGGTGTATTTTTCGGAAAAAAATCGGATTTTTTCGGAATTAATTTCGGAATTAAATCGGATCGGAAATCGGAAATTCCAAATTTATTTTATATAATTCCAATTCCAATCCAAAAAAATCGGAAAAATTCGGAAATCGGAATTTCGGAAGTTGGAATGAAAAAAGTTGTTCCAAAATCGGAACTTTTCGGATCGGAATCGGCGGAAATTGGAAATTCCGTTCCAACTTGCACCCCTAAGCTCACCCATACCCAAATAAAACTAAAAATCAATTTTATTTAATTATTTCTCGTCGGCATTAAATTCATTTTCTACACAATTCTTTAGTGATATATCTAAATTAAAAAAGAAGCCATGGTTAATAAATTGAATTCCCCCCAACTAAATATGATTATGTGCATTTACAGCAATTAATTAAAATTACAAAAAGGTGAAATATTAAGTAAAAAGGGTAAATTTATGGAAACCCCCCTGAACTTAGGCTTAATAACGAAAATGCCCCCATCTATCCGTAATAACCAAAATTCCCATCTGATTAACTGTTGATCGAGTTTTTTTAACAGAAATGTGTACATGCTATTATACCTTCTGTTAAATAAGCGAGAAAATACCTGAAATTGTGTAAAGTTTATTCACTGGAATAAAAAAAGTTCCGTGAAAAGTCACACTGTAGGATTGGTGTAAGACGGAAGCAAACCTCAGGGTTTTTTTGGTAATTTAGAATAGGTGGATGCGATTTTTGTTATTTAATCTAAGTTTAGGGGGTTTTTCGTAATTTACCCAATAAAAATAAGATTGGGGGTGGTGTTTATCACAGTAGTATATATAAATCTCATTTTTTGTGCCCCCATTCTTGAAAGCACCCGCCCCCCTTCCTCACCCCCTCCTCACCTCCACAACGCGTTATACATACATAAATAAATATATATATAGCAGTGTGTATCTATTTCCATTTTCACGCAGAAAACACACACATCTGGGTGTAACACCATTTTTCCCCGAGAAAAGCGCCCCCCTTTTTTTTCTCTTCCCTGTCAATGTGTTTTCCTTTTCTTGTAATATAGAAGGTAGAGCGAGGGGTATTTCCGGTAAATAAAATATTCTTCGGAAAATCTAATCCTATTAATTTTCACATTTAACAGAAGAACAGAAAAAAAATTAAATTATTTTGGGCGGAGAGAGAAGAAAAAAAAATGGGGAGAAGGCGATTAATACTCCTCGGAGTACTGTGTGCAGCTCTAGTGTGTGTAGTGTGTGCTGCGGCGGCGGCGGCGGCGGAGGAAGAAGTTCAGCACAGAAACGCATACGCAACGATGATGTACATGGGTACGCCGCGGGACTACGAGTTCTACACGGCGACACGTGTCATGCTTAGATCGCTCGGAGATCTTAAGGTTGATGCTGATCTCGTCGTCATTGCCTCCATGGATGTACCCCTCCATTGGGTACAAGCTCTGTAAGTACAATACTACTTTTTACCTTCTTACCCCTCCCTTCATCTTTTTCTATCCTTTTAGTCCTTTTTGCCCTTTTGACTTACTTTCCTAATTTGATAATTAAATTAAATATATTTCCGGTGCTTGTTTTTTTTTGAAATTCAAATTCATCACTCCCTCCCCATATATTCAAATTATTTTTACTTTCTAAAAAAAATATTATTATTTTATCAAAAGAATATTACATTTGATTTGATTATCTGTCTTGTTAATTGATAAATTAGTGGTGTGCAATTAGTAAGATTCTTGTTTAGTCCGTCTTTAATTACGTGGTGATATCGTGTTTTAATTAATGTATTATAAAAATTAAAAATCGTGTTGTTTTTTGCTGTATTTAGTCTGTCACAATAATAATATTAAATTAATACCACCACCATGTTAGTAATATTAAATTAATATAATATTTAGTCAACTTGCTCGAACAACTTAATTAGGACTAAATTTTGTAAAATGACATGTAATCATAGGCATGTGTCACTTAAATGTCATATGAAAAAAAACATATCATATAATCCAATTAAGGTAAATCTATTAGTCGAATTTATTTTATTTTATTTTAATATAATATTACTCCTAATATATATTATTATTTTTCACTAGTATTTTTGTTTTAATTTGATAAAGAAATAAAATACAAATTAGGAAGATTGGACTACCCTTTAAGAAAAAGCTTTTTGACCCTCTTTTCCTTAAACAAGAAAAGGGTTGTGAGGAAAGAATGTGGGAGATTAGGTCAAAATTTTGCTAGTGGCATATATATATATATATATATATATATATATATATATATATATATATATATATATATATATATATATATAT